TCTGGATTTTTGTTGTCACGAAATCAATGAATAAACCGAGTGGCGGTTCATAAGGGTAGACTTGACAGACTCAGACCCTTCCCAATGAGTTATAATAGTAATGAGTTTCAATCCATTCTTGGTTTAAGGTTTTCAAAATCCTTAATTATTATAAATGATAAAAATTAATGTAGCTGTCATGAATGTTCATTCTGACCTCAATAGGTTATATTTTATAGGTCTTTTTGAATTTCAAAAGGTTTATAAATCAGTTGACACTTCTTCGTTCTAAAACCTTGTGAAAGCTTAGATCTGTGAAAATTTTGGTTATATATATATATATATATATATATATATATATATATATATATATATATATATATATATGTATATATATATATATATATATATATATATATATATATATATATATATATATATATATATATATATATATATATATATATATATATATATATATATATATATATATATATATATATATATATATATTTATATATATATATATATATATATATATATATATATATATATACATATATATATATATATATATATATATATATATATATTTATATATATATATATATATATATATATATATATATATATATTCAGTTTATTTCATGATACAAAGAATATTCGATTTATAAGTCTAAATAATCTTAGGCGCAAAGAATTTTAGGTAGATCTCTGACAACTGTATCTTATCAATAAGATCACATCGTGTTTTATTGTCCGTTCAAATGATTCCTCGCTGTCTCAGAAATTGGTTTAGTTTGCGTCATAATTAACACTTAGTGTATAAGGTAGTGAAATTTCAATGTACCTGTCCTCTCAAGTTTAGAATATGCATTTTAATCAGTCATTTATTCTTATCTCTTTCGTTTCATTTATTTTTGAATCAATGATGCAAAAAAAACGTGCACTAGTTGAGTTGATTGATAAATAAACTCAAATCAACTGAAAGTTCACGAACTGTGATATTTCAGTTCACCTTCAAATTTCAAAACGAAAATTACACAATTTTTGCATTCAGATTATCAAAATTCGAGGTTACTAGATTAAGTGATGTTAATTATATGCATTAACTGCAAAATGAACTGTTTAATTACACTTCATTCGAATTCACCTTTTCAAAATGAAATTTCGATAATTATATGCGACTCATATTAAACACACAACGATGTTTAAATAATTATATCTACTTATCACCATTAATTTATCATGGCAATATTGATTGAAGTATCTGGATTTTTGTTGTCACGAAATCAATGAATAAACCGAGTGGCGGTTCATAAGGGTAGACTTGACAGACTCAGACCCTTCCCAATGAGTTATAATAGTAATGAGTTTCAATCCATTCTTGGTTTAAGGTTTTCAAAATCCTTAATTATTATAAATGATAAAAATTAATGTAGCTGTCATGAATGTTCATTCTGACCTCAATAGGTTATATTTTATAGGTCTTTTTGAATTTCAAAAGGTTTATAAATCAGTTGACACTTCTTCGTTCTAAAACCTTGTGAAAGCTTAGATCTGTGAAAATTTTGGTTATATATATATATATATATATATATATATATATATATATATGTATATATATATATATATATATATATATATATATATATATATATATATATATATATATATATATATGTATATATATATATATATATATATATATATATATATATATATATATATATATATATATATATATATATATATATATATATATACATATATATATATATATATATATATATATATATATATATATATATATATATATATATATATATATATATATATATATATATATATATATATATATATATATTTATATATATATATATATATATATATATGTATATAATATATATGTATATATTATTTTATGTATTTTCAGATCCCGAAATTAGACCAAAAAATATTAAAAAAATCAAAGAAACGCTTGAAAAAAATGCATATCCAAAAAAATTTTATGAACCATTAATCAAGAAAAGAATATTTGGGATTGCAATTTATACCTGAACTTTCTTACAAAATAAGTAATGTCATGAAAAAATATGATATAAAAATAAGTCACAAGCCAAATAATGTAACGGCATCAATATTCACTCAAGTCAAACCAAGAATTGAACAACGAAATGTAACACATACGGTATACAAAATGAATTGTAGTGAGTGTGATGCCTGTTACATTGGTAACACTAAACAATATTTACATAAAAGAATATATGAACATAAATATTCAATACAAACAAATAAAAAATCCACAGCACTTGCAAAGCATGCAATCGAACAACTACACTCAATTGATTTTGAAAACACAGAAATTATAAAAAAAAGAGAGAAACCAACTTAAAAGAAATGTATTTGAAATGATAGCTATCCAAAAAGAAGAAAAAAGAACAGTTAATTCAAGAGCAGACATAGAAAACTTCGGACGAATTTACCACAACATCATTCATCGAAATGACAGAGACCACGTGACTTAAGAGGGAGTGAGATGATATACTGAGATTAATTGTGAATGTAATGTTGATATGTTTTATTTTGAAAATGACAGTAGTCGAAACGCGTAAATAAAATTAAATATTAATGTAATAATTGTTATAAATTGACCCTAACCTAGGAAAAAAATATCCAAATGTATAATAAAAGTGGTCAGTAAAGATACGAAGTAAATATATATATATATATATATATATATATATATATATATATATATATATATATATATATATATATATATATATATAAATATATACTGATCGAAAAATTCAAGAAGTTATTAAAATTTATTTCAATATCCAAGCACAGAAGTGAGCCGATACTTAATAAGCCAGACCAGAAATTTTTGTCTGAAGCCGCCCATAGGTTTATTACCTCAGAATTCTATGCGATTTATTCAAAAACCAACAAAAATTTCAAGCTGAGTACCCATTTTTTTATTTCATGCTACTGACTTGACGTATGGTATGTTCACGGTAAATAAATTTTAACATTTCATCATGGTTGGGAATTGAGCAGATTTTTCATTTGAACATTGAAAAGAACCAAATTCTAGAGTCGTCTCACCATTATACGTCATTGTCCGTATAACGCCACAAGGCAAGCCAGCGACCTCAGAAGCTGCCAGAAAAACGAAACTCATTCGAAAAAAAGTCAGAATATACAATATACAATATCATATGTATAAATATGTCGTAAGGGATAATGGCCGTAAAGACCAAGCAATGACTAGATCTGCGATCCCGGAGAGTTCATGCGGAAGCCTAACAGTGATGACTTCCCTTGAAGGAGTTTCTTTAGTAGATTTTTCTCCATCTTCCGGTCCGTACACCTTGAACTTGGTTACGCAGTTCTGAAGAAAGCCTACAAGCTCGAAACACGTGTCAGGGGCTGCTTCCAATTGCGAGCTATACCGATGATTTCTGCTTTGTATATATATATATATATATATATATATATATATATATATATATATATATATATATATATAAATATATGTACTTATTTTGGTTTAACGTTCTGATTCTCAAATCAAAATTGAATAATGTATTCAATAGATTAACAATGTACTGCGACTACTGCGAGGGACAGTCTCAGTCCCGCTTTGCAGGGAAACCCCGACCATTTGTGCAGCATATAAATGAAATAATCATGAAATAAACATAAAAAAATCTGAGAAGACACCATGGCCAACACCGCATCACATAAATATCACCAGCTCTTCCAGCAGTTTCCAAAAGAAATAACAGGAATTTGGTCGAAGTAGTGTCTTTCATATCAAGTTTCCCAACATAAAACTGGTTTTTTGAACGAGTTTTTTTCCAGATCAATTAAAAATGGCGTATGGCAGAAATAAATGCTTACTGAATTCAATGAAAGCAGAATTAATTATTCATTTTAATCTGCAGCTTTATTGTGGAGAGTTCTTTATCTATACTGAAGAGAAAAAGGAAACGTTTATAGAAATTTCCTTTCCAAATTTTCACAGAAATATGAATAAGTGATTCTAGTGAATAATTATTGTCTCCTTGTTTGTTGCAATTCGTGACACTCATTGGTCATACTATTGTTTGAAATGCCATATTATTCTAAAGAATAAAAATTTGATTTTGATTTATTTTTATTTTTTTTTTCATTTAATTTTTTGAATTATGAAACGAATAAGATCCATGTATTCAACGATAAGGTAAATCGAGTTCGAATTTTCATATGTTCTTTCGAAAACATTATCTTCAACTATTTTTGCTATATATTCATGGCAAATATTCATACGTCATAACTCATAATACCTGAACGTAACTTGATTGAGTTCAATGAAAACATGAATATATGAAAACTTCAGATCAGTTTATTTTATAGACTATTTAATATTCAATCAAAATGCCTTATATCCACTTATATGCCTTATATACACTTGCCATACATCGAATGCAGCGATGGAAGTCGTCTATGAGTTATTCCCGAATAAAAAGGTTTCGCGTAGGGCTAACATCAACTGGCCTTCCAGAAGCCCACACTTTAGCCCGCTTGACTATTTCGTATGGGGATACCTTAAGAGTAAGGTTTACGAGAACAAACCAACACCCCTTAAACAGCTGAAGCAAAACATGACGTCAGAAATAGTAGCAATATCCAGACCTATGTGTCAGCCTATCGTTCGTAATCTTCGTGGCTGATTAGAACAGTGCCATCAACGTAACGTTCACCATTTAGATAACATGATATTTTCCAAATAATTTTACAGCCAATATTAGTATTACCAATCATAAACTTTTTTTTTGTTTACAAGTACTTTTTGTTTTATTGAACTTACAAATACCCGATACTCTTTTTGGACACCCTGTGATATGTTCTTAATTCAGTGGACCTACATTTTAACGCCCTTTCCGAACGCCCAATGGGCTTGTAATCAATATACATTACCCAACAATTATCATCATTAAAGTACAAAAATCAGAGACAAACACATACGCACATGCCTTCATCGGGGCTCGAACCCAAATCCTACCGCATTATAGTCGGGTATTCTCCAGACTAAGCCACGGAGACCGAAATTTAATACTGAATTAAATTTTTTTATTCTTCTATTCATAATTTCGAAGGCATTGAAGTTTTAGTAGGGACCCGTATTCTTTTTCAGTAAAATATATAGCCTCTATTATCAAAAAATGATGTGATTTTCTATTGGTGAACGAACTTTCAGAATAATTTAAGTAGATCGAGAAATTACCCCGTACAACGTCACAAACTGCACCTCTTCGATTATAAATATCACCTAGTAAAAAAACAAACCAAAGATTCTGGTTTTTAGTGAAAGTGTTAGCATCACTAGACTGATAAAAACTAAAAAATAAAAATGATAATTTTTAATAATATATTCAATATTTTATCAGACTATATATATATATATATATATATATATATATATATATATATATATATATATATATATATATATATATATGTGTACATAGTTTTCAAACTATGACGATAGAATTCCGCTTTTTTCATTCAAAGACTTTCCAAATCCGGGTTTACCAAAAACAACCTAACAACGCTGATATGTTCATATATATGTGTGCGTGTGTGTGTGAAGAATATAAAAATCACATCCATGGAATCATATTATCTTAATTTTCTGACTGCAATATCATAAGGAATATAAATCACTAGGAAAGGTTTCTATAGAACTCTGCTTAATTCCAAACAAGATATCTAGACTCGCCATGAACGTTAGAGAATTCAACAGAAGATGGCGCTCCACCCAATAGATAGAAATCTACATTGTAAAGCCATGAACTTCCGTTCAAGAGTTTAGATGGAGGTGCAATTCAGTTTTAAGATCATTCCTTCCAAATATCTTCCACACACATACATATTTATTTATTTACTTATTTATTTATTTACAAATACACCACTCAACAGCTTGGGCCAATTACTGAGTGGGAAAATACAATATAGTTTAAAACATACAAAAATGAAACTAGAAGCAATATCAATAATGTACAAACAATACACATGAATGAAAACTCTGTGGGCAAGCTAGCATTAAAGCTCACCAACAAGATACAGGAAAAACTAATATCTGAAAAACTTATAACTAAAAAACAGTCGGGCGAGAGCTCGTCCGATATTACCAGGCACTCGTGCAAATATGTCGATGGCGTCATGAAGTAGTCATGCATATGTATATATATATATATATATATATATATATATATATATATATATTTTGAAAGTTTTTAGCATTAACAGGCTTTTTAATATGAAAAGTTTATTTCTGTTGACGTTTCGTTGTTATATTACAACTTTGTCAAAACTAATGAATAATTGAATTTATGAGTTACTATGGATATCAAATGTCATTTATTAATTATTTATTTTTTTAGACATTTGATATCCATAGTAACTCATAAATTCAATTATTCATTAGTTTTGACAAAGTTGTAATATAACAACGAAACGTCAACAGAAATAAACTTTTTCATATTAAAAAGCCTGTTAATGCTAAAAACTTTCAAAATAAATACCTCAAACAGGCAATAAATCAATTTCAAGATATATATATATATATATATATATATATATATATATATATATATATATATATATATATATATATATAATGGTCCTAAATTGTTATTAACATTTGTAACGTAAAATTCTTCATTTTTGTTGACGTTTCGTTGATTCTCCTCAACATCATTAAAACCAAATTGGTTGAGGCTTTCGCGGCCAGTCGTTGAACTAGTGTTGTCCTGGTTCGGGTCTTAGGGCCGTCGTCGGTTGGAATTTCTTCCTAACGTTTCGCTAGCACGAGTGGCGAGCTTCTTCAGAGGTCGTTCCATTTCTGATTCTGGAAGTAGACTGGCGAATTCTCGTACGCAGGTTGTATTTATATCTCGGCATAGGGGGCGTGGTTTGTTCCACTTCGGTTGAGGTGGGGAGGGGGACTCGTTCTGTTATGGTTGGCGCTTTGATATCCAATGGCATCACTCGTGTATTCCTTATGATATGATTCCAGATTGGATTGAGACTGAGGGTTTCCTCCTTTCTGTTGAAATTGTTTGTATGTTTTCGGATTTCAATGACTTCTCTGACCAGCCTGTTTTGATAGCCGTTGACTGATGCCAAGAGCGTACAATCCTCAAAATTTATATTGTGGTCCCCTTCGCTCAGCGCGTGTTCGGCTACTGCAGACTTCTCAGTTTGTCCTAACCGGCAACTTGCCTTGTGTTCCTTGAGTCTCGTTCCCATTGATCTTTTGGTAGTCCTATTGTAGACTTTTCCGCAAGAACACGGTATGCGATAGACTCCTGCAGCCGACAGTGGGTCCCTCTTGTCCTTCACTGATCCTATGATCTGATGGATCTTCTGTGTAGGTTTGAAGATAGTCCTGACATCGTGTCTTCTCAGAATCCTGCCAATCCGGTCTGTTACTCTTGGAATGTAAGGAAGGTATGCTTGTGAAATCGACGATCGCTCCTCGGTTTCTTTACGTCCAGGCGTTCTTACGCACATTGATCTCTCGATGTCCCTCTTACTGTAGCCATTTGCTTCGAACGCAGTTCTCAAGTGTTCCAGTTCTGACTGAAGGTTCTCTGATTCGCAAATTCTCCGAGCTCGTTCCGTCAACGTTCTGATGACTCCATACTTCTGACTCTGGTGATGGTTAGATAAAGCGTGCAAGTATCTGTCCGTGTGCGTAGGTTTTCTGTACACTGTATGGCCTAACTTGTTTCCTCGCTTCCTCACTAGGACGTCCAGGAAAGGTAGCTGTTGATCCTTTTCTGTTTTCATGGTAAACTGTATACTGGGATGTTGGCTGTTGAGGTGTCGAAGAAAGTCATTCAACTTGTCCATACCGGCACTCCAAACCACGAAGGTGTCATCCACATATCTGAACCATGTAGTTGGTTTGTGCTTCGACGTTTCAATGGCTCTCTCTTCGAACTGTTCCATGAAAAGGTTGGCTATAACTGGGCTAAGTGGACTTCCCATTGCAACTCCGTCGACCTGCTCGTAGAAATTTCCACCCCATACGAAGTAGCTTCCAGTGAGACAAATTTCAAAGAGCTTGCAGATGTCGGTCGGAAAGATCCTAGTAACCAGGTCCAGACACTCCCTCAGGGGTACCTTGGTGAAGAGTGAGACGACGTCGAAACTCACAAGAAGGTCATCGGGTCCTAAGTTGATAGCTTGAATTTTCCTCACGAAATCAGCGGAGTCCTTAATATAACTGGCACCCTTTCCCACATGCGGTTGGAGCAGTGATGCCAAGTGTTTTGCCAAGTAGTACGTTGGTGAACCCGGGGCACTAACTATCGGTCTCAGTGGAACATTTTCCTTGTGAATCTTCGGTAAACCATACAGCCTCGGTGGTACAGCCTTCGTCCTCACAATGCGTTTCTTGATATCTTCTGATAGTGACGATAACTTGACAAGACGGTTTGTGGTGCGAAGTTTGGTTTTAGTTGGGTCCTTCTTCAGGTGTCTGTAATTTTCTGGATCCAAGAGTTCCTTGATCTTCCGTTGGTAGTCTTCAGTCTTCAAGAGTACTGTAGCATTTCCTTTGTCGGCTGGCAGTATGACGATATCCTCATCAGCATTCAAGTTCCGAAGAGCTAGTGCTTCTTGTTTAGTTAGGTTACTTTTTGGAGGTTTCGCCTTTCTGAGGATGTTTGCTGTCTCAATTCTTATAACTTCCGCGTCCTCGTCTGGTAACGGTTTGATAGCCGCTTCCGTACTGGAGATAATGTCCTCAATTGGGATGTGGCGGGGCGTGACTGCGAAATTTCCTCCTTTGGCTAGTACCGATGCTTCATCCTCCGTTAGCACCTTCTGCGTCAAATTTACCACGAGTCGTCCCTGATCAAGACTAGTTGTCCTAGGTGTTTGTTTGTTCTGGAACTTCTCGTATTTCTTGATCTGTTGCTTCTTGATGCGGTCAAGTTCGTTCCTCATGTTGGAGTGTGAGATTGCGTCCAATCTATCCCAATCTTCGTGTCTGATCTTTTTGCCCAGGGCCAAGTGTAAACCAAAAAGATTCTCCTCCATCTTCGCAAGAGTCCTTCGCGTGTGGTGAATCCGTTCCCGCAGAAAGGCTTTCTCTGTCCTCACGTAGATCCTGTTTGCCTGCGCTGACTGGAGAATTCGTCGCTGTCGGAGGAATCCTGGTACAATGTTAGTGTCCCGGCAGCGGCACAGAAACGTCAAAGTGGCGAGTAAGTGAGCCTTCTTCTTTCTTCCTTTGTCCAGTCGTTGATACTCCTTCCATGTCTCCTCCCCGTAGAGGCGTCTGACAAATTGGTTGAGGCTTTCGCGGCCAGTCGTTGAACTAGTGTTGTCCTGGTTCGGGTCTAAGGGCCGTCGTCGGTTGGAATTTCTTCCTAACGTTTCGCTAGCACGAGTGGCGAGCTTCTTCAGAGGTCGTTCCATTTCTGATTCTGGAAGTAGACTGGCGAATTCTCGTACGCAGGTTGTATTTATATATGTCCTAGTGAGGAAGCGAGGAAACAAGTTAGGCCATACAGTGTACAGAAAACCTACGCACACGGACAGATACTTGCACGCTTTATCTAACCATCACCAGAGTCAGAAGTATGGAGTCATCAGAACGTTGACGGAACGAGCTCGGAGAATTTGCGAATCAGGGAACCTTCAGTCAGAACTGGAACACTTGAGAACTGCGTTCGAAGCAAATGGCTACAGTAAGAGGGACATCGAGAGATCAATGTGCGTAAGAACGCCTGGACGTAAAGAAACCGAGGAGCGATCGTCGATTTCACAAGCATACCTTCCTTACATTCCAAGAGTAACAGACCGGATTGGCAGGATTCTGAGAAGACACGATGTCAGGACTATCTTCAAACCTACACAGAAGATCCATCAGATCATAGGATCAGTGAAGGACAAGAGGGACCCACTGTCGGCTGCAGGAGTCTATCGCATACCGTGTTCTTGCGGAATAGTCTACAATGGGACTACCAAAAGATCAATGGGAACGAGACTCAAGGAACACAAGGCAAGTTGCCGGTTAGGACAAACTG